CAGGAGTGGTGAAGAGGGCAGGACGTTGCAGGAAGGTGGCCACATTGTCCCCATTAGCCCATTACCCTAAAGCAGCCCACCGATCTTCCTCCATCCCTTAAATCTGCAAGATATTATTTCCTCATTTTTTCCCAGTGCCACTGCAGAAGAGGAAGTTTCCTTCTCGTTGTATAGGGAAGAAAGTCTTCGGTTTATTTCATTTTTACAGTTGTTTCCTTTTCACAGGAAAGCTGTTAAAATAAAATTAAGACAAATCAAATTATTTTTACAACCTATCTGAACAAGCGGGTAGAAATTCTAACTTCCAGGAAAACTGCTTTTCCAAAGCTAATTCATCGGAGCTATAATTTTTTAAATCATAAACATTATTTCCCACATATTTTTAGATGACACGTAAGATAATGAAGCACGAATCACGTTCTGCTCACTCCCCTCTGCAGGAAGGGACCTTGATAAGAGAAAAATCTATACAAGGAGAATTCAAGTTGCATTTTTACAAGCTTAGCTTTTCCATAATCAGTTGCTCCCACTGAGAAGTCAATCTTCTTATCACACATGTCAATTCCATTCTCCTAAAAGCAAAAGTGATCTTTAGAAGCCATTGTTTCAGAGGATCCTTACCTACAAAACTATAAGAGGATAAAAACCTAATAAGGGCTTACTCATATCAAACACCGCATCAAACACCGCATGCAAACTGAGGCGAAATCATCACAGGGGTTAACCCATCGTTTGCCACTTCGGGAGTCTGTTTCTCTAAGACAACAAATTCTTTTAGCAATACCAAGTTACACTTAGAAAATCACCCATTTAACGAAATTAAAAGAAATCCTACTCTCATATGTGGCTTTTTCCCATACTACGTCACATGCACGTCCGCACTTATCTAACTGTATGAGAGAGCTCTTTCATGTCTCTGTTTACCGTGATAGATCCTGAGTGCTGGAAGTCATACCTACTGCTCCACCCCTGCGCTCCGCCGGGAGCTCCTGCGAGCAAGCAGGAAAAGGTCCGTGATTCACTTCCACTAGAATCACCGAGAGGAGGGGTCAAAATGCAGGCTCCTGGGCCCCGCCTCCAAATATATGGAATTAGCTCATTTGTAAGGATTTCTAACAGCTCTGATGGGGCCTTCGAACTTTATCAAGGAGATACTGAATCCAAAAGGCATAACTACCTAAGACCTCCAGGGTGATATTTCTTCTACTTACTCACACAGTTGTTTGGAAATTACTGCCACAAAATCAGTTGAATAAAGGAGAAAGTGTCACCCTGGATAAACCTCAGGATAACAGAAACAGCTTATGACTGTTCTGTCTCACAGTATTGTGGTCATGTGTATCTCATGTGTTTTTACTGAATCGAAGCAAATAATTTGGGGATTTTCAAACTAAGAGACCTTAGAGGTTATACCTTGCTACAAAATACGTTGTGAAAAAAATATACCAAAGACACGTTAAAAACATAAAGGCCTGAACAATCACATGTATCACTCCCATCATTTATTTATACAAAACTAGAAGTCTGACATTTAAAACCCCAAATCTTTATTGTTTTCAGGATAAAAAACATTCATCACTTTTTTCATGAAAAGGTTTTTATTTGAGGAGTTATATTTTACATATAAGAAATATTATAAAGTTATTAAAGCTTTACAAATAATTTACCTTTTGATCAATACATGAAGAGTTATACATCTGTAAGCAGAAATACAGTAAATACTACATTTTTAAATAATAAAATATAATTTATAATTTCACATATTAATGGATTTCCAACATTCAATCTCACAAAACATTTCAAAGTATATGCTATAATTTTTATAAAAGAGAAAATACTTTCTTTTCAAAACAGCGTTTTACCTGTATGTTGTCAATACTATACTACATACATGACACAAACAGTTCGAAATATAGAATGTTTACTAAAAACTGTCCTACAGAAATTTTTCTAATTTCTCCTTTTTGTTCCTATCGCTTGAAAATATTCATGGCTGAACTTCAGTCTTATAGAGACGTAATGTCTCCAGTTGAAATAAAGACATTCTCCTCAGTTTCTGCTTGCCCTCCTAGCAGACAATAACCATGAGTCATTTCTCAGAACTAGGTTTTCAGGTAACAGGTAGGGACAGGCTGTACCATTTGTACACTTCACAATCTTAGAAACATTGTATACCCAGGACATGTGTAAGCACTTGGAATTACTCTGATACCACTTTCGATCTGCATCAAGAACATAATAAATGTGCATTTTACACAGAGCACTGGTACTTGGGACTGTGAGCTGAATAGCATCTCCCTCTTTATTCACTCATTGCAAGGGTAATTCAACTGTCCTTTTAACCTATCACTTCCGCCAGAGTAATAGGGTGCTGTTGGTCCCGTATATTTTTACACGTACCGCAGAGTGGAAGGGTAAGCATCTGACCACTCTTCTACGTCTTTGGCGGATACCGGCACTCTGTTTAGAAGAACCATTATTTTGAAAACTCCATTTGCAGATAGAATTCATTTTGCTGCTATGCTAGGGAGGCAGTGATAACTGAAAGAACCCAGGAAGGTGCTCTCTACACTTGCTGGAGGCCAGGCAATAACATGGACCCAGGCAAAATGTGCTTTACTTGGAAAATATCTATTCATTAAATTTATGGGGGAAAATATTGCAAATTAAACATCCTTTGGAAAAATTTAATTACCTCTATTTAGCTAATTATCTGTCACATTATAATACAGGATACAGCAGCCCCAAACAGAGGTTAACTAATGACAGCCTTTATAATTGAATTCTTAAAGGGTTTCACATGGTATAATTACATAACTATATTTTTGAAACATCATAGAAACCAAAAACGCACCCATCAGTAATCATCTGAATGTCAGACTTGATCAGAGCCAAGCTACGTACAAGCCCCCATTGAACCCAACTTTTAATCATCCTTTGCGTTCTCTCCAGAAAAAAAAAAACAGAGTGTGCTCTTGGTGGCCACTGAAAGATGCTGCTCTGCATGAAAGGGAATCGAGAAGAAAATAATCAAAAGAAGAAAAAAAGGAATAAAGCAATCATCCTGCACTGGGGGAAAAAAAATTCTTACAGAACAAGAGAAAACAATACAGGCCTTCTGAAAATGTTTAGTGGTGCCAATGAAATGGCACTTTTTTTTTTAATGACTTCATCTCCTTGTACCAGCAGAAGGTAGCCTCCCCTTGTCAACTGTGACAACTAAAAAGAAACCCTGTTCCTTTTGTGCCCTGAGAGTTTTACCAAAAGGCACAAAGTTCACAGAGAGATGTATTTTCAGGTAAGAGAACCAAATGACATAAAGAAACTGACCTAGTTATCAGTTTAGCAACAGAGGTGAGAGAAAAAGATATTTCAAGGAAAAACTTATCAATATTAAAGCACCTGTGCCCAGCTGACACCCTTAATGATAACTGCCCACTTAATGCTCACAAACAAGTTACAACTGCAGCTGTACATGGCCATCCAAACCTTACGCACCAAAATTCTAGAAGGATCATGGTGAGCACAACCACTTGGTCAATATGAGGTTCCACAAATCACAGGGAATCTGCACCCAGTGTCACTCTTCGTGCCCAAAAGGGAAGAAGAATCGACAGCCAGTAATAATAAACAATGACTCATCACTTCAACTCTAACATCTGGTGCCAAGAAATTTATTTTTTGTTTAAATGTTTCTGTGAGCCTTCTAAGTCATCCAATAGCTTTCCCATCAATAAGAACATCGGCTCTTTTTTTGTACGTCCTTCTACGAGAAGCGGATTAAGAAGCAGTAGGTATTTGGGGACCTTCAAAAAAAAAGAATTAACAAGTAGCAACTATAAACAAAAAGGTCCTACAGGATAGCACGGGGAACTATAATTAATACCTTGTAATAACCTACAATGGAAAAGAATATGTGTGTGTGTCTGTGTGTGTGTGTGTGTGCACGCGACTGAATCACTATGCTGTACACCAGAAATTAACACAACATTGTAAATCAACTAGACATCATTTCTTCTTTAAAGTAGCAATAAATTACTACCACCTGGGCTGGATCCTATTTCCAAACGATGGGCAAGGGCAATAAGACAATCCACATTCTATAAACCGTTCTCGTTACATATTAATGACTAAAACAATTTCTGTGCAGGTTTCAGGTTAATGGGACAAAGAATATCAGCTTCATGGCATTAAATCTATGTGAAAAGGGAGTGAAAGGCAGTAAAAGTGAAGTTGCACCAGGAAACAAGAGAGTTATCTGAGCATTAGCCCAGCATGAAAAGGGACCGGCTTCTGATTTCCTGGAACACAGCCCGCACAGGTTATGATTTCTGATTACCAGGGCAGCAGGCAGCATTTTCCAGCTAACACTTTAGAAGAATGCTTGGTCACACCATGCTCTGCCTTCTTAAATGATCTATGTTGAAACCATTCATTTCCATCTCTCTTACATCAGTAAAATGTCAAGTAAGACTGATAAGATGGGCATTTACCCTCAATTTTCTCAATAATGTAAGGTTTTAGAGAGAGTGCATTAGAACTCTGAAATAATAGGCTAATATATTTTCTCAATTTTCCCTTCCCCTTTCATTTCCCCTAGGGGGCCTCTATTTCTGATAGTATCTCCTCTAAAGTTTAGGGGGCCTAAAAGCATTGCTCTTTAACCCCAAAAATAAAAAAGTTCTCAAACATAGTTATTTTCTGAGTAAATATCTTTCAAAAGAAAACTTCTACAAAGACAATAAACCTTCCCTGCACTGCTTATAAAGGGTAACATAACAGTGGGGATGGGTGGAAAGGAAATAATGCTGTAAGAACTGCTAAAAAAAAAAAAATCAAATAGAAATGGTTTCTACCTTTTCTGCCTCTTTTTCACCTTCTTCTCCACTTGCAAATGCATACACAACACAATAGATTTCAGCAAGTTTAAGAAGCAAGAAAGCAATTACAAAGATGCAAATAACAAAATTCAATCAATCCTTGTTTTACAAAAAGAGACAGCCGGACATCAGGAGGCTGTCGGAATCTTCCTCCCCTTATTCAGTAGATTTTTTTTTAATGTTTCTAGACCTCTAGTCAGCATAATTCACATTTCATGTCCTGAACATATCCTGTTCAAACTCATAGTAGAACAAAATGAAGATGTTATAAGGGAAATTATATACTCTAGTCCTAGTTTTCACTGCATTGAGATTATATGTGGTAAACAAAACATGGCTGTCAATGGGGAACAAAATCATCTATCTAGAAATACTCCAGAAAAACAACTTTGAAAAAGCTCTCGAATGAATGTTAAAATTGATCACATTTTAGGCAATTTATTTCAAGCATACTACATATGCATTAAAAAGTGCCCAGAAATCAAAATTATATTTCAAAGAATATATTCTATACACATAATATCAAACCGGAGTCCATAACAGTGTCTAAAAGATCTTACTTTTATTTTTTAAAGCAACAGTGGTTCATTCCTCCAGAGACAACTGTTCACATCATGGTCATTCTCGTTTGGCATCACCAATGACGCCCCACACATCAAAGACAAATTCATCCGGGAACGCAAAGTCTCCAAGAGTCTCATCAAGCGCCACAGCGAACTCATCCGGATTACCTTTGTCCTTTCCAGCTTCAAACATTGTGGTGGCTATCAAAAAGAATTTTTTTTAAATTAATGATACATGAAACAGCATCAGAGGGCTGATTAAAAAATGGCACTATATTTCTAGTACAAATTAAAACAATAAGATACTCTGCATCAATCACGTATCAGCGCAGGAAAAAAAATTTTTTTTAATCAACCTGTCCGCTGCACCCAGGTCTGCAGCTACTACCCCCGCCCTCTCCTCCATCGTGGAGCCCCTTAGTTGGGAACTTCTGGTGTTCCCGTGTATAGAACAAGGGCTCCTGAAAGGAAATCTGCTAGCTAACCCCAACAGAAGATTCAGAGCACATCCCTTCCCCACCTCCCCACAGGCACTGGCTCTCTCTGCGCTCCTTGCCAGACCCCCACCCCCAACCACAAAAAAAAGACAAAGGGTAACAGTTTGCAATGGGACCATCAAGCTAGGGAAAAGGAGGAGAAGATAGCTGTCTACTCATGGAATCAAAGTAACTTTTTTTGAGCCTCTTTCCAGTTCAGGATAGAAAGTGAAGGCGGTGCCCTTGCTCTGTTTTTCTAATAAGTTGCCTGAACCCCAGATTTTATGCCTGGGGATCCAGCATCTTCAGGATTCCCATGGGACCTGCCCCACCTAGCTGGGATCCCATCAGGCTCACTGGTTTTTTTTCTCAGCCCCCTATAAGCACCAGCTGCCAAGAAGAGGCAGTGTGGATGTGATTCAGGACTTGGGTTCCCAGATAAAAGGGAACCATCAAAGCGCAGCCTCTCTTTTCCTTTCAGGTTCACGTTGAACAAATCAAAAGTTGTATGATTTCTCTGAATGAGCCGAGAGGTCTGGTCTTTCAGCTAAAATTCACTAGGGCTCCTGAGAGTATTTATTCTTCATCTCAAACAGCTCAGTCCTAACACAGGTAGGCGAGGGGAAGGGAGGAGATACGGTCCATAGAAGGAAAGGCACCTCAATCAGAGGAAAGGTGGGGTGTGGATGGGGCGACCTGGGGCAGGGATCAAAGCCCTAGTTAAGGTGAAGAGGGCTTCCATGTGACTGGATAGCCTGGTGCAGGGAGCAGAGTCCAGGTGCGGTGGGGAGGGGAAAGGGGCAAGGAGGACAGCAGCCCGCTGATGAGAGGCTGGTCGCACACATGGAGACGGATCACATAAGAGTATATATATTGAGTCATGGGAACCACATTTTTTCACTGTCAGAGAAAGGTAAATAAGAGAAGGGAGAAAGGTAGAATAAAGACTGCAGAATTAGAAATGTAGAGATCAGTGAAATATTTTTTTTCAAAAGATTAAAAACTGTAAAGGTAAAGACATGAACACACACATTCCTCAGTCCACTATGGGGGCCTGGGAGCAGCGACACCCCAACAGCAAAGAGCATACAAAACACCCAGATCTTGTTTTTCTTTTTAACAGAGATACCAGGGATTGCACCCAGGATCTCATGCATGCTAAGCACGCACTCTACAATTGAGCTATAACCTCCCCGAAGATCTTGGTTCTTAAATATCATTCTCCACTAAAAAAAAAATCAGATTTCCTCAAAGAAACGGCTGATTCCAGGTCTGGAGCAGGCATAGTACAAAATGAACCAAGAATATCTTCTGCCAGAAAGTTAAGAAAGTATCTAAAAAAAAACGGGAACATTGTGAAAAAGACACAGAAATCAGAGTGTAAGAACTCCCACTGACCACATGAGGGACAATTTGAGCATCAAAATAAGTAGTAAGGGTAATAGATTATAATTCCATTGAACGAAACAAGAAACTATGAATCCATAATGAAATGAGAGGCTGATTGACAAAGAGGTGAATGGATGGAATATTTGGTTGGTTGATTCATGGGAAATGGGATATTTACATAGCTTCAGAATCTCCCTCCACCAAATGCTTATTACAGAGAGAACAACCTTACGGTGAAGAAGCTTAGCAAACACCACCTTAAACGAGTCATCAGCATAATTGAATCTCTTCTCTTCGGCATCACCCCCCTGTCTCCCACCTTGCCCCAGGCTTCAGCCATGGCCCAACAGGTTCTCCATTTACCATCAACACAGAAGCAAACACTTCAAAAGGGAGAGGTCCTCAACTGCAGCTGGACCCTCTGCTCCAGCCCAAGGGCCCAGTCAAGTTTATTAAAATTTTCACGTATACATTTTTAACTATATGCCAAGGCTGGCCTGGATACAGTAAAGCAAAACACTCAAATACACCGTTTGACTTTGTAGATACGGCTTCTGAAAAACAATTTGGCAGCAAGTATCAATCTTTAAAAATGTTCACATCTTTTGACCTACTAATATTTTCACTTCTGGGAATCTATACTGCTTTTTTTCTGGTTTTATTATGATATAACTGATATAAATCACCACATAAGTTAAAGGAATGCAGCATGATGATTTGACTGAAGTACATCATGAAGTGATTACCACAATAAGTTTAGTTAATATCCATCATCTCTGAGAGATACCAAAAATAGATATTTTCCCTTGTAATAAGAACTCAGGATTTACTCTCTTAACAACTTTCAAATATATCACACAGCAGGGTTAACTATAGTCACCATGCTATGCCTTGCACCCCTGGTACTCATTTATCTTAGAACTGGAAGTTTGTATCTTTTGACCACCCTAACCAGCTCCCTCTCCTCCACCCCCAACCTCTGGTAACCACAGATCTGTTCTTTTTTTCTTAGAGTTTGGTTTTGGGTTGGGTCCCCCCCCACCTCACCTGCTTTGTTTTGTTTTTAGATTCCACATGTAAGTGAGATTTTACAGTATTTGTCTCTCTCTGACTTATTTCACTTAGCATAATGCCCTCAGGTCTCATCCATGTTGTCACAAATGGCAAGATTTCCTCCTTTTGTGGCTGAAGAATATCCCATTGTATGTATATCTCAACTTCTTTGTTCATTCACCTGCCCATAGGCACTTAGGTTATTTCCACTTCTTGGCTATTGTGAATAATGCTGCTACAAACAAAGGGGTGCAGATACCTCTTCAATATAATGTCTTCATTTCCTTCACATTTAAGGGAATCTATACTTTTTTTCAAAAAACCTTAGAAACAGAAAAGAATTTAGCATAAAATTTTTATAGAAAAACCTAAGGAGGGTGTAGCTCAGTAGTACATAGTGTGTGCTTGGCACGCATGAGGTCCTGGGTTCAATCCCCAGTACCTACTTTATGAAAAAAAAAAAAGAAATTTTTTTTAAAAACCTAAGAGGCAGGGTTTTTTTAATAAGCTGTAGGACCATTAAGCTACCTCTAGTATGATGAAATATAGTGGATAAAATATTTGATAAAATATTTCAAAATAATTTTAAACCATACTTACGACGAACTTTGCAATAACTTGGGGAAATCTGTTTCTATATTTACTGAAAAAATAGTACATAAATTTTATATTACAATCACAACTGTTTTTACAAAAATCTCTACACAGGACGGGTAAAGGGAGAAGTGTATGTTAACACAATTATAATAAAATATTTACGGCAGAATTTAGGTGCAAGGTATAGAAGTGCTCACTAAGAAGCCTTTCAACTGTGCTGCATGTTTGAAAATCATAATAAAATATTAGGGAGAGGAATCTCTACACAGACAATGGAAGAAAACGTAAAACATAGTAGATACATTCAAGTTGGAGAGAAAGTTTTTGGGGTTTTTTAGGTTTTTTTGGTTTGGGGGGGAGATTTTGTTTTGTTTTGTTTTTTGTTTTTTACCTCGGGCTTGTTTAATGCAGTAAAACTATGCTTGAATTATAAACTCTGTAAGCTCATGGGTAACAGCTATATTTTGGAAATTATTTCCTAAGCCATTAAGAAACACTAGGGAAACAGTGTGGAGATTCCTCAAGGGACTGGGAATGGACTTGCCATGTGACCCAGG